ACCCCCTGGAGTCTTTCTCCGTGTCGGCCTCAAAACCTCGAACCCTCTGCCGCTCATTTGGCGCTGTAGTATCGTTGTTGAAAGATTTATTCGTCCTTTGTTGCTCTTAGAAATGCAGTCACTTCTCTGGTATCACAGCACACAGCACTCAGGATCGCGCTGTTTCCCGACACGGGTGCTCCATTCCCGCCGCCATTTTCCCTCCTCAGTCAAAATATACTCTTTCCTGCCCCCCACTTTTGAGTGCCTTCCCTGGAGCTGTGGAGGATGACACAAAGGGTAATAAAGGGGGGGAGTGGAGGAGGAGGAGGCGAAGGAGGAGGCGAAGGAGGAGGAGAGCTGGGTAAGTGGCTGCTCCTGGGTGTAGTGAGATGTCTCCAGCCAGGGCGCAGCAGCAGCAGCAGCAGCAGCAGCAGCAGCAGCAGCAGCAGCAGCAGCAGCAGCAGCAGCAGCAGCAGCAGCAGCAGCAGCAGCAGCAGCAGCAGCAGCAGCGAAGGGTCTGTGTTGCTAAGAGGCTTTTGGTCTCTTTCTCTCCTCTCACGGCCAAAGAGGAGGGTGGAGGGGGCTCGGGAGGAAGGCGAGTGGAGGGGTGAGGGGGTAGGAGTCGTGGATGGGGGTTTTCGAAGAAGAAGAAACTCCTTCTCCTTCTCTCTCAGGCTCAATCCCCCACTCAGGGCTCAGGGCTGGAGGGTGGGGGAAGGAACTCAGTCGCCTTCCCCCCACCCCCCTCAATTCAAGGTTGAAGTGGGGTAAAATTAGTGTCCTGTCCCTTTAAAAATAGAAATAAAAGGTGCCCCCCCTCTGCCACTGCCTCTCTCTTCATCATCAGCTGCTGCTGCTGCTGGGGTCTCTCTGCTTGCGGGGGGGAGGGGGGGTTCGGGTAGAAGAGACGGGAGGCACTCACTGCGCATGTCCCTCTCTGACGGGAGGCTGGTTGGTTGAAGGCAGGAGGAGGGGGAGGGGAGGAAATGAGATGTTTTCCCAGAAGGCTCCCAGGCGCTCGCGACCCGGAAGACATTGTAGCAGGGGGTAGAGGGGCGGGGGCGGGGAGGAGGAGGAAGTCGCTACTCTTTATCACCCCCGGCTCCCTCCTCCCTGCTAAAGGAAAGTAGAGGAACGGAAGTGGGCGTGGACGGAGGCGAAAGAAGGTCACGTGTTTGGGAGAGAGCGGGGCGGAGGGAGAGAGGTGGTGAGTGCGCGGGGTATGCCGGGAGTGGTTGTGTACCGTTGGCAGCCGCGGTTGATGTAGGGCTGAGAACGCGCAGCGAGGTGATCCTGCGAAGCGGTTGCCGCAGTTGCTGGATCCCCACTTTGTCCTGATAAAGTCAGGCTTTCTGCGGCAGGTAATGTGGGAGTAGGCTGGCCTCTAAACGAAGGCCAGGGCGTCAGCGAAAGGCGCACCGAAAGGGGGAGCATGGAAGGCGTGGAGACTGGAAATGTGCGAAGGGGGCAGGCTTGTCTAGGCCGGACAGGCCAGGACCAGGCGGACTCGTTATGTCTCGTGGCTTCCCCTTGAGCCTGCCTACGAATTCCTTAAGAGTGCAAGGAGTCCTGAGACCAGCTCTGCAGCGGGTGACGGGTGAGGAACGTCCTGGTGTAAGAGAAGATGTCTGTGGCATAATAGGTATAGTATAGTAAGTCTCTTGAGGAATAAATCAGAGCGGTGGACCTATGCAGGGAGAGAGACGAGCCCGGTGCGTGAATTTTGACCAGACGGATTAGATGCATTGCTATGTGGGGTATTGCACTCTTCAATCCTTACCTCGAAACCTTGCCCGGAAGTCTGGAGTGGCTTTGGGGAGCAGGCAGAGAAGTCTTGAGGAATTTCCTTCCTTGTCTTGCGTTGTTGGTACAACACAAAGCCAGTGCCAGTTCTTAGGACGTGGGATTGTGTAGTCTTTGATGTTGAATTTTACTATTGTTAAAGAGAGAAGGGACATCATCAAAGTTTTCCCTTGTTAGAGTGTAGGTGAGAAATTTTTAAAGTAGGTTTTTCGTCTTAAATTTCTTTGAGCTTTTGGTATCTCAGTTAAATGCTACTATTTTTGCTGAAAATAATGTTTTTTATCATAAAATCAAAATTAATTCAAAACGTTTAAGAAAGGTTCATACATTTACATTAGGCAAGCTTTTATAGTGAAATAGCACTATTTTTCACATTTATTTCATACAATCTTAAAACATTTCAGTCTTTACGTTATCTTTGGTAAAGGTATTCTGAGGGATCATCGCCTATGTATGTGTTGTTTTTTAAAGCTAAGACTCTAAAATTCCTCATGTTTATTGTGTTGGCATTGTTTATTTTTGTAATGTGGGTTCTTTAGGATACACTGTCAGCTAAAGACACTAATTTTCTACGTTTTATTTCCTACAAGTTTTGGCAGCGTGCGCTATTTATGCATCATTGCCTGGTGCTGACTACTTTTTGTGTGTACAGCAGTCACTTCAGATGGAATCGAAACTAGATTCCTGTGCCTTAAAATATTCTTTATATTGAAATCTAATGTCTACCACTTTATAATAGAAAAAATATAGCAAGGTAATTAGTGTGCCTTAGAGATAATTTTTAAATCTTTTAAAGGTAAAATACTAAACATGCAAAAAAACCTGCACAAAACATAGACGCGTAGTGTAATGAATAACTATAAAGTGAACTCCGTAACCACTACCAAAGTCAAGAAAAAGAACATTGTTGGCCCCTGAGAAACACCCCTCCCCCATCCTTTCCTGAACATTTTCCCTTCCTCCCCCGTCCCAGAGGTTAACACTATCCTAGTTTTTATGGCAATTTTTTACTGCTTTTCTTTCTGATGTTTTTTTAACCACCTATGTCTGTATTCCTAAACAATATAGATGAGTTTTGCATGTTTTCTTTTTTAATATTTGTAAATGGAATATGTTATGTGTTGTCTTTTTTTCTCTCATGTTGCTAAGATTTAACCCTGTTAATACATTTATGTAGTTCATATATTTTCATTGCAGTATAGTAATATCTATAGTATAAGTAGTATAGTGATCTTTTTAGGAATAAATTAGTATAATATTAATGGACATTTAGATTGTGTTCGATTTTTTGTTTCTCTTTTTTTTTTTTTGAAATTGTATTCCATTTTTGGCCATAATAAACAATGCTTCTGTTAATGTTCTTATACATTATGTACGTAACCAAGCATTTTTATAGACTACTGTACATATGTTTATCTTCAGCTTCACTAGATGCCAGACTATTCCAAAGACTATACGATTTTATACTCCCACAGTATGTGATAGATTCTTTTATTTTCTACAGTCTCATCAATAGTTATTTTTCATTTTTGCCAACCTGATGAATGTAGCCTTATCTCGTTTTAATTTACACTGCCCTGGTTACTAATGATGTTGAGCACTTTTTCAAAAACATATTGGCTATTTGCATTTCCTGTTTGTAGAATTGTTTTTTTATGTCTTTTGTGAAGATTTTCTATAGGGTTGTCTGTTTCACTCAAAAATTTGCAGCAGCGTGGCAAATATCTTCTCTGTGCTTGGAGCACTATTCTCTTCCTAGATAATAACTTTATCTCCATTTAGTTTCTTACCGTCTTATATGCTGTTATTGTTATTTGAATTTTGTATGCAATTTTAACTCCAGGAAACAAGTTCAATACTTGTACTATACAGTACAGTAGCCACTAGCTGCAGTTGACTTTTGAGCTCTTAAAATGTGGCTAGTGTACCAAAGAATAATTTTTTCATTTTATTTAGTGATAATTTAAATTCGAAAACTGATACTTGATTTAGTAATTGTAAAAATTTTAAGTATAATTAAACAACAATTTAAACTTTATTTAAAATAACATTCCACTGTTTTCTTTCATTATTGATCATGAGATGTCAACTGTCAAGATGTCAACTGTTGAGAAAGCAGATGTTTATCTGAGTTTTATATCAGTTATATCAGATTTATATCAGTTCTTTTTTTATAACTAAAATAAAACTATAGCTCAAGTATTTCTGATGACAGTATAGTGTCTGAGTTTCGACCTGTAAATGTAAAATAAACAGTGGATTTCAAAGACTGAGTATGAAAATATAATGTAAAATACCTCAGCTTTTCATTATGATTACATGTCAAAATTATTAATTTCACCTGTTTTTTTTTTTTTAATGTGGTTACTTGAAATTTTTAAATTACTTGTGTGGGTGGTATTGTATTTCTGTTGGACAGCACTGTTCTCTACCATCAAGGTGAGTTAGATGTTCCTATATTTTTACCACTTTCTTTGTTTTTAATTTCTTCGGGCATCTCTGACTTTTCTTTTGGGATCTTTTCCCTTTTATTTGAATGCTCTTCAGAAGTTCCTTTATACAGATGTGATAGCCAATTTTCTGCTTACCATATAATGTCTTTGTTTTTGCCTTCAATGTTGAAGAATGTTTTGGGGATATTAAATTGTAGATTTGTGGTTGTTTTTCAGCACATCGAAAATAACATTCCGCTGTTCTTTTCCTTTCATTATTGATCACGAGATGTCAGCGGTCAATCTGATCTTGCTGTTTTGAAAGAAATCTGTCTTTTAAAATATTTACTTTGTTATATTTACTTTGTCATGCTATCTCATTATGATGTTTTTGTGTGGAATTCTTTGTCTTGCTTTGGGTTCATTGAGATTCTTAGTGTCATTGTCTTTTTAAAAAATACCAGCTATGCCCATTTTTACTATTTCTAGTTACCAGCTGAAAATTGCAGTTTTGGCTTTTATTGGCGTAGTAGTCATAGTTCATTTGATGTCTTTGTGACAGTTTCTAAATTTTTTGTGAGTCTGTTTCTGCTGGCTCATTATGTTTTTTTTTTTTTTTCTTGTGTACCTGTGTGCTGATTCTTGTATTTGAAAAATTGTAGGAACATATGAGTCCTAGAATAACGGTATCTTTCTTAAGAAGGCTCATTTTTCTAGGAAAGATACCTAGGGATGCTACCAGTACCATGTCACTTTGTTCATGTTTGAGGTTTGGGATTCCTTCTGTTATCCACATGACATAAAGCAGGGCTTCAAGTTTATGTGAGTCCTACTTTACTACCAATTTTTCCTTATCCTGATGATGTTGCCCTTAAAGACTCAACTTAAATTGGGTTATGGTTTATATGAGTCCCCAGCTCTGGTGGGCACTGTACTTAGACTTTTTAGCCCAGCAAAGCTTCCAGGGGCCCATGCTTGTTTCTTGGCCTTTTCTTCTGCATAGGCTAATGTCCTCAGGATAAATGTTATTTGTTGTGTGGTTTATTTCTTATTTACCGTCTCCTACATTTTGGCATATAATTTCATGCTGCCTTGTTTCTTATTTTTATTATGAAGTTTTTTTGTTGGCCTCAGCAGGATGGTTGGTCCAGTCTGCCTGTTACCATAAATAGAACCCTCATCCTCTGTTTTGTTTTTTTAGATAGTTTTAAATTTCTTAAATTATATTTGTCTCTACAGAATGCAAAGCCACATTAATGAATTTAGAAAATATTTCTAAGTAGTTTCTTTTCTCTCTCTTTTAGCAGTTTCAAAGGCAAAATAACACATGCTAAAAGTTTCAACTACTGCTACATGGCTTATTATCAAAATAGCTAATACCTCTTTGTCACAGTTTAGGTTCTCCAGAATATTTAACATCGGATTTGCCCCATGGTGGACCAAAATGGTTGGGCCTTTATCCCCTCACTTTGCTTAGTCATAGGAAGAGTGTGATGTTGAACAAGGTGGCTGTCAGTAGTCCTCATTTCCCCCCTCTAGTGGGAAAAACTTTTTTTTTTTTTTTTTTTTTTTTTTTTTTTTTCTTTGTCCGGCAACGGATCGCAACCCTCAGTGTCACGCCCGGACCGGGACCGGCAACGGGATCGCAACCCTCAGTGT